CAAAAGGTAAATTTTGAAAAAGATATGTGTGATGATTTGGACACAATGTTAAACTGGTAGCTAGCTTTGCACCCCTAGTGCAACACTGAAGAAGCAACCTTCAGAAGCACAAAACATGTCTTAGGTGATCAGCAAACTTTGGGGTAAGGAGGGGACAAGTGTAAACGTCAGTGGTAGCTGTTGCTTTAATATATATGTAATGAAGTATAGTTCTGTCACTGCTATTGTATTCGTTGTTTCTGAGTCACACTTCTCAGAGATGGATGAGAGATCGCTGCCTCTTGCTCTCTGACAGAGAAACGACCCTCATCTTCTTCATTTCTGTGAGCTGCTGGGGGTCGAGCGGGACCAGATGGAAAACTGGCTGTGCCGTAGAAAGTTAGCCACAGCAACCGAGACCTACGTGAAGAACATGTCCCGCGCCCAGGCTGCTAACGCCCGCGACGCTCTGGCCAAACACATTTACGCCCATCTGTTCGACTGGATCGTGGAGCACATCAACAAAGCCCTGCATACCTCCTCCAAACAGCACTCCTTCATCGGAGTGTTGGATATCTATGGGTAATTCTGCTTGTAATGGCTTTAGAAATAAAAGCATTCGGAAATGTGTGGAAATGTGAATTTGCCGCATCGGGCCTCAGACCAACAGACTTGGGTTGTAACGTTGTGTTGCTAAGTGAGCATGTGCACGGTTGCTGTGTGCAGCATCAGCTTTTTGGTCTTTGTGCTTTTCCATTATTTCAATGCCAGATGAGACTACTGACAAGGCCAGTCGAATTCTGCGCTCTTAAATGGTCCCTTGGAAAGGGGAAATTATTGATCGGTGCAGGAAGTTCTGATAAGGAAGTACTAAATGCATGCACGCTCTTCTTTAGGGGTTTAGGGAAGACAGCAGTTACTACAGTATGTCCGAGGGTTTCCTGTGGACCTGGGCTACATTTGAATGGAAAGTTTTAGAGGTTGCACGTTTCAATATATATATTAGTGATGAAACATGATAAAACACAGTTCCTGTTCTGACTTGCATTGTAGTGGCTAGTGTGTATAGAGTGTGAGGTGGTCTCCTGTTAAACACACACCTCTTGGTCTCTTTGTTAATAGTAGAATTTGTTTAAGATTTGTAACCATACGAACATTTTACAACGAAAGGTTGATCGTTGTCATTCACATAGCTATTGTTTATTCTTAACGAGATACAGATGGGTGACAAATTAAAGGAAAAACTAGGAAGGATCTTTTGTAATACTGCTTTGTTTAAACACGTACGATTTGAATTTTACAGGGCTTGGGAGAGAAAGAGTTGGAGTTTTGGTATTATGCTGGGTTTTTGCGTTTTGCGTACCTTGTACACCCTAAAAGACAGCTTCCATCTAACAGCCATTCTCATGTCTTAATAGATTTGAAACGTTTGAGATTAACAGCTTCGAGCAATTCTGCATCAACTACGCCAACGAGAAACTTCAGCAACAATTCAACTCTGTGAGTAATAGCTAAGATGGCCGCCATTTCTCTATTTTCTTTTATTACTCACTAGAGATATTTCCCATAAATGATAGAGCCGCTCAGGTACAGTGAAGATGTCAATATCTGATCAGTACTAGGTATTGGTTAATGCTTATAGCTCTGTTATGCATATTGTGCCTAAAAATGTGAGATCGATGCATTCGTATTACTTAGGCTGTGTTTAGTTAAAGACATGACACATGCCTGAGAAATGGTCCTTAATAAATCTTTTCATTATAATTCTCACAGCACGTTTTTAAACTGGAGCAAGAGGAGTACATGAAGGAGCAAATCCCATGGACACTCATCGACTTCTACGACAACCAGCCTTGCATTGACCTAATCGAGGCCAAGCTCGGTATCCTGGACCTGCTGGATGAAGAGTGCAAGGCCAGTTCTTACTCTCAAGATTGTCATTTATGAGCTGAAAACTTTTTACCAGATAAAAACATATCATACAGGAAGTTACTTGTCTACTCAGTATAGCTTGAGCCTCATGCATGAATTTCTTTGCCTCATTTACATAAAAATAAGGCAACGATAAACAGATTTATTTATTAATTCAGCATTATAAATAATTCATGAATTTATTAATTGCAGTCTACCTGAGAGATCCTTGAAGTTGTAAATGATTTGGAATAGCATCAAGCAAGAAGCTGGAGGTTTTGTCCGAACCTGGTTTGATGTCCTCGCTCTTCCTCTTTTTGTCTCGCAGGTACCTAAAGGAACAGATCAGAACTGGGCGCAGAAGCTGTACAGCCGCCACACGGGCAGCGAGCACTTTGAGAAGCCGAGAATGTCCAACACGTCGTTCATTGTGGTCCACTTTGCCGATAAGGTGGGATAAGTTCAGATAGAGTCGGCTTAAAGTGGAAGCAGTTTGTAAAACTTGGTTTGGCTTGTAGAACATGCCTGAGTTATCTCGCACTAGGGTTGTTACAGCAAACCACAACGAAAAGCAATTCTACACGCTTGGGGAAAGTGGTTTCTCGAGGGTCGTTTTGGGTAGTGAACAGCTCCAGGTTTCTATGGGAATTATTTCTCAAAGGGAAACCATGTTGTAATGTTCTACATAAAACCTTTAAACGTTCCCTACAGGTATGGGCGTGCGAAGAGACTTAAAACGTACTAAAAATAAAACTGGAACTGAATATAGGGAGTAACAATGTACTTCGGTAATAATAGTAGATGTAGTTTAGCATAGTTTATGACGTTTCGAGAGAAACAGGACATTCTCTCTGATGAAATACCAAAGAATAATGTGAGTGTGTTACTGTTACCACAAAGCTGATTATTTTCCCATAACGACACAGCCTAAAGTGTTTTAATCCTCTAAAAACCACAACAAGTGACTACACTGTTTGCCAGTGACTACAATGTTTGATTCATTGAAGAATGACACACAGTAGTTTTTATCATTTTATAGTTGCGTTTTAGGTTGTGGAACATCCGTGAAACAAATGAGTTCCTGTTAGCACTTATAGCAGCTGTAAACAGCTTTGTTTATTTTGTTTGTTTATAACATACACATATATGGGAAACACCCTTGGTTCTACGTACGATCTTTGAGGACGCTTTCTCACCTATTAGTCCGTTTTTCGACTCGAATTGGAGTGAAATTGATAACTTCATGTTGATTGCTATTTGGTTTGGTTTGTTTTCTCAGTTGACGTAATTAAATGAATCAAAAAGGAAAAAAATAGAGCTGAAAACGCATGTGTAAAACTTCATTTATTGGTCAGAAATACAATGACAGAAAAAGTAAACAAACCTTTACAGAGTGCACTAGAAATCGTATAAATCACCACACACGGAGAACATGGAGCCACACTAATTCATTATGTAGAATTACCACATAATTCTAGAAATTTCTAAACATTTTGCGTCCACCTTTTATTTTCTCTGTCTGTCAGTCAACAACACATCACATTTCCAGATGTGCTCTGTCTTTTGGCTCATTTTAGCAGCTCACATCTCCAGAAAAGTGTTGTACACAACCCAGAACACACAGTATGTTCGGTTCAGTTCCTGTAGTTGGGTCGATTTCTCACTGCAATCGAACTGCTCTGCACTTGCTGTGTTCTCACCTGCCTAAACGAAGCGCACCACAGAGGAAAGCACACCGGGGTTCGGTTCGAATGGACTGAAAATGACTAAAATGACCTTAAAGTGACTAAAAAGAAAAGTGGAAGTAAAGACATGTAAAACTATAAAAGCTCGTTAAAAATGCTGCGTAGTGCAGAAAGTTTCCAGGTCAAAAAAAGTGAAAAAAAGAAAAGTGCTCCTGAGGATGTAGGGGATGAAGCCGGATAATAAGCGTTCTTTTGACTTCTCAAATGAAAGAGACGCTACCATAGTACAGGATTAATTGTAAATAAATATTGTGATATGTATTGTGTAGTATATTGAAATATACAGATAAGGCATTTTTCCAGTATTAGCCACCTTTATGCACAGTATACTGTATAATGTACAGTTAAAATACAATATGTAGAAATAAAGTCAGGTGGACATAGACATGGTTTTATTGTCCTTCAGAGACAGGATTCAGATTCAGATCTCTGTAATCACCAGTTCATGTTTATTTCTTACAAAGAGGTTGCATGTGAACATTGTGAAAGCCTCAGCAGTAATTATCTGACACACAGTAAGGCCTAAACTCCACCAAGAGGCATTATAAGCTAATGATCTGCAGAGGCGTGTATTCCCATTACGACAAACACGATTTAATTACGAAACACCTCCACCTTGAAATGTACTTGCAAAAGACGTTTATCATGAATGATGTTTCCTGTCTGCGCCATCTTTTTCATTTCTCACCGATCGGTTTTACACACCGATCTTACACACGTTTCTCATGAACACCGACGTTCATCAAGAATCCCCACAAAGGGCTGAACTAATGATTGCCCAGTGCTCGTCTTTCATTCTGCACAATTTACTCCCAACCCTTATTTAATACAGCTCGCCCAGTTAATCAGCGCACCAGAATGTTACAGTGAGGTGTGTTGGAGCTAAACTCTGCAGGAATGGGGTTGGGCAGCTCTGACAAAACAAAGCAGGAGCACGAATATGATGTGTGGGGAAGGCTACAGAATCCTGTTACATTGTGGTGAAGCTCTGTTTACAGAAAAAGATGTGAATACACCTGAGACAGGGACTTTTGACCTTTTTTTTCTGGGCAGTAATTCACTTCAGTATATAAAATCACTTCTTTAGATTCTGCTTATTCAGACAAAAAAAAACATTGTGCATGCTTTGTTTGATGCATGGAATTTTTATTTTTAAAAAAAAACAGCACTCACAGTACGGTGTCCTTACTGAGCATCACATACTGATAGCTGATTGGCTGACAGCGCATGTCAGTCTGAGAGAATACAGAAAATACAGAGAGCTGGAAGATGTTTGGAGTTATATTTGTTGTATTTGTTTATAGGAAAAGGACAAGGACTCTACCGATGCCTTTATTCATGCTTATTTTATCAGTGGCATTCGGGTCCCTGGAGGATTAGTGGTTAGGCCTCGGCGCTATCGCCACCATGGGCCGGGTTCCATTCCCAGCCAGGGAACCTACTGCAGCCGCTGGGGCTGTACACAACAACAAGCCCGGATAAAATTGGGGAGGGTTGCGTCAGGACGGGCATCCGTCATAAAAACTGTGCCAAATTATGCGGACCAATGATCCTCTGTGGCGAAAGAACAACACCACCACAATCAGTGGCATTCAAATGATACTATTATTAGATATGCCATTAATGAGTATATGAGCACTGAAAACTCAGCTAAGGGAAGTAAGAAGAAAGAATTCCTTCTCTCTATAATAACCTGAAGTACCTTGTTTAAACTTGTTTTCACTAAGTTTAACTAGATAACAGATTGAAATGCCAGAAATGTTTTTCCTTAGTCGTGTGGTCTGTCCAATCCGCAGCATGGATGGGGTGTGCAGTAAGGGTCGGGCCTTTCTGTTTTAAGTGAACGCTGATGTGTTTCTGGATTTGCTTTTTGTGTGTTTGGTTTGTTAATGAGTTTTGTACTTACAGGCCACCATACTTCAGAGACACCTACCTGTGTAGCTTAGTTTAGTTTTTGCCCTTTTAGTGTTCATCATATTGCAGCGTTCATTGCTAAAAATATTTGATTATATAAGCAGCTTTTGTTGGCCTGGTCATGGCAGCTATGATGATGCTCAGTTCGGCTAGGGTGGCTATGGGATTTTCAGTCTTGTGTAACAGTGATGCAACTTCCAAAATTCTCCCTGTAACTCCTGTAGTCTAAAAATGGTTAAGATATCAAGTTTATTTTGATGGCTTGACTGCTTTGCTCAAAATTTTTAAAAAAAATTCCAAGGTGAGGTATGAGAACATTTTTTTGGCATGTTTCTATGCATGTTGATTTTCTCTTTCAGGTTGAGTATCAGTGTGATGGCTTCCTGGAAAAGAACAGGGACACCGTGTATGAAGAACAGATCAACATCCTGAAGGCCAGCAAGGTGAGGCAATATGTCCCAATAAAGTTTTCTGAAATATCGTGGGTGTCATCATCACTTTCTTTAAAAATTACACACTCTGATTGGAAGCAGCTGATGAGATGTTAACATTTTCAGTATTAAAAATTCTTTAAAATAATTTGTACAGAATTTATTTTGTAGACTTAAAATTTTTGAACTGTTCCTCCACTGTTTAAGCCTTGAGCAGTCATTTTGAGAGTGAACACTTAACATATCTAACAGGGTCAGAGCACAGTGCTGGAATCTTTGTTTAACTCGAAAATAAGGTTCGGTTGGCTCCGAATTAAAGCACTATTCCCTGCTAATACTAAACAAAAACTTTCTCTCCTTTTGTTTATGGCCTTGTTTATGTTGCTGAAACGTCTTGTGAGAAAATATAATTTGTAAATGTAGTTTGTGCTAAAGATGGACATAACTGTGTGTCATCTAAATATTAATTAAAAAAAAATACTGGTAATGCTTTATATTAACGTTCCCTTAACTGACATTATTTATATGACACAATCATTAACATGAACAAACATGAACTTTAGCTTTCGCATACCATCAGTAACATTAAATATAATAAATAACACCCATAGAAATTGATGTTTGTGAGGTTTTTTTAAATAATAAACCAAATGAGATGATAAGAGAATAATCACCTACATTAACCAATGTTGATACCATCAGTGAATAAAATGAAATGCACAGAATGACCATTAAGGATCAATTTGAATTGAAATGTGAATTTTATATTCAGATTCCTGTACAGCTGCTATGTGGCAATGTCCATTTTTAAAAGCACTATATACACTCACCAGGCACTTTGTTAGGAACACCTGTACACCTACTCATTCATGCAGTTATCTAATCAGCCAATCATGTGGCAGAAGTGCAGTGCATTAAAATCATGCAGATGTGGGCCAGCTGCTTCAGGTAATGTTCACATCGATCATCGGGATGGGGGAAAATTGTGATCTCAGTGATTTTGACCGTGGTCCGACAGGCTGGTTTGAGTATTTCTATAACTGCTGAGCTCCTTGGATTTTCACACACAACAGTCTCTAGAGTTTACTCACAATGGTGCAATAACGAAAAAACACCCAGTGAGCGGCAGTTCTGTGGACGGAAACGCCTTGTTGATGAGAGAGGTTGAAGGAGAATGGCCAGAATGGTTTGAGCTGACAGAAAGGCTACAGTAAGTCAGATAACTACTCTGTACAATTGTGGTGAGCAGAAAAGCATCTCAGAATGCAAAATGCATCAAACCTTGAGGCGGATGGGCCACAACAGCAGAAGGCCTTGTTGGATTCCACTTCTGGCAGTCAAAACAGAAAGCTGAGGCTGCAGTGGGCACAGGCTGAAGACTGCAAAAATGTAGCCTGGTCTGATGAATCTCGATTTCTGCTGTGCCTCTCAGATGGTAGGGTCAGAATTTAGCACCAACAGCATGAATCCATGGACCCAACCTGCCTTGCCTTCTGGCAAGCTTAGTTACATTAAGTATTTTCATTTTTTTTAATGTCATAATACTCTTTATGTTAACGTCTCGCCATTTTGTTTTAGGTTTGAAAGGTAGGGTGTGTCTGCAGAGAACTTTACCAGAGTCGGTCTTAGAATTCAGTGGAGCAATGCTGAGTCTAGCCTTGAAGCAGGAGAAAAATTCAAAATTCATGAAGGTCTCAGCAGTAAGACTGAGCTTTCGCAGTAGTTCTCATCACTCTTCGGGTTGCTAGAGATTTGAAAGAAGACACAGCAGTGGTCAGATGTTGCCGTGTCTGTGCAGCCTTGATGTCTGTGTGAAATGAGCTGCTTTAGAGTTAGGCCATGTTGGGCGTGGCACATACTATAGACTTCAGCAGCCTTGTAATATAAGTTACGAAATCTATAGACACATCTGGATAAATATTCAAATTCATGTTCATTCATATTCAAATTCCTATTCATTCTCTGTAATTTGTAAGGAATAAAACACTTGGGGGTGTGCTCTTACAGGAAAATAATCTACAACGTGTAGCAGAGTTACAGTTGCCACCCTGAAGTTGATTATTTTCCAATAATCGTATGCGTCGGCGTATTTTATTCGTTTTATGCCTCAGCAGTTTGCAGACTATTACAGAATTTTTTTTTTCCATGTCGGATGTTTCGTATGAAGCAAGATTACTGAGAAACAACAAAGCACAAGAAGTCCTCTGTCCTGAAGACTGTCGTGTGTCAGAAAGTGTTACAGCTGTACCTCTGACTGTTACAAAGCGCCGACGCTAAAAAAAACTCCTTCCGAATGTTAATAAATGTCTCTTCACAAAAAAGCTTCACTATATCAACAATGATTTGTTTATGTGGAGCATCTGTTATAGACAGCTGCTTCTGTTCCCTGCCTTTTCTGCATTCAGAGCTACAGTGAAGACAGACAGCCTCCTCATCACCACAGTTAAACCAATCTTTATTTCACAGCAGCACAAAAAGCACCTCAAGCCATATTTTCTTTTTAAAAAAAAAAGGCAAGTGCGAAAAGCACCTAAGTGGTTATATGGATGTTGTATATCATATATCTCCATCATTAATATCGTTTAAATTGATAAATGGTTGAACGTTTCAGCATGTGGCAGCCCGATGGCAAAGTGGGCTCCAGATCTACTGCATCCTGGTGACTAGAGCTGTAACGGTTGTTGCTACGCTCTTCAGCATTGCACTGATGTTTATTCCTCCCTCAGTTCCAGCTGGTGGCAGATCTCTTCCAGGACGAAAAAGGAGCTCCTGGTTCAGCAAGCAAAAGCTCGAAGATCAACGTGCGTCCTGCTAAACCCATGCCCAAAAGCCACAACCGCGATCACCGCAAATCTGTAGGCACTCAGGTGAGGCTCTGAGAAATGTTGCACTAAACTAGGGTCTATTCAGATTGGTAAATTGATTGGGATTTATTTGCGAAGTAAAAAGCCTGGCCTGTTTGTGTTTATAATACCTCTTTTTTTTTCTAGTTTCGGAGTTCCTTACATCTTCTGATGGACACTCTGAATGCTACAACCCCGCACTATGTACGCTGCATAAAACCCAACGACCTCAAAGAAGCCTTTGTGTAAGTTTTGTTTTTATAGATACAGTCATTTTGTCTACATCTTCACCTGTGTGTCTGGGAAGTGCTTGACTTAATCAGAACTTTAGGAATCGATATTTAGGAATATTACTGTATTGTGTATATATTATTGCTTACACTTTTGCAGTGGATATAAAAAAAATTCTACATGCCCCTATTAAAATTACAGGTTTTTGTGATGTAAAAAAAAAAATGAAACCAAGATAAATGATGTCAGATTTTTTTTTCTTTCTTTCTTAAAGCAATAAGACGAAAAAACCTCAGCATGTTATGTTGAGTCCTTAAGACTTACTGACTGTTATGAAGTGCTGACACCGGAGACTCCTTCCATAAATGTCTTACAAAAAGCTTCACCGCATCAATGAATATACATTTTCTGTTTGTTAAATAACAGCAAGATTTTTTTATTAGGTTTAGATTCTTGTATACTGTTCAACAGCACTGTGGTGTGAATGTAAAGTAATAGTTTACTGTAAGAAATGAAAACCCAATTTATTGCTTATTATTTGTAGGTTTAATTTTTAGACCACCGGTCGCTGCACATAATGTACTCTGACAGTATACCTGCTCCACTTCTTCTCCATCTATGCAAACCGCACGTTATCCTGTTCAGTTTTCCCGCAGAATTGTGCGTTTAAATCTCTGAAGGGCTTGGTCATGATTTGTTTGTCTCTCCTGCACATTCTTGAAGACAAGAGCCTGTTCATGAAGCTTAAATTGAGAGCGGTTTCTAAGTCACATGCTGCGAGGGTTCTCACAAACAGAACGGAGCTGTATTCAGAGCTCTGAGTCAGTCACGCTCAATGTCCTTAATTGTCTGAGAGTACAGCTTTCTACTGTAAATGCCTCTCTCACTAGAGACACGTACGATGCTTACGGAAAAGTTAAGGTAGGGTAGGACCATCCTGGGCTTTTTTTTTTTTTATATATAGAGTAAATGTGTTTAGCTGTTTATTTCTGTATAAATGTTGATGAGTGTTGGTTTG